TAACGTAAGACGTAACGTAAGACGTAACGTAAGACTTAACGTAAGACGTAACGTAAGACGTAACGTAAGACGTAACGTAAGACGTAACGTAAGACGTAACGTGTGTGTGGAGCTGCTCAACAGGTGGTGTTGAACCATGACGCTCTCCCCCCCGCGGCCCCAACTGTCTGGCAGAAACGGGTCCGTTTAAAAATGCGTTAGCAGAGCACGGACACAGAACTCAGTAAGCAATGAATAAATATGTTCATAATAAGCGTTTAGTGTGTACACCCTCACTATTCGCTCTGAGTGAGAGATGAAGTGGCGCGCGGGAAGTCGAGGCTGGGAGCCGGGACGGGCTATACTCGCCCCGTTTCTGCCCCCTTCCCCTGGCGAACTCCCACCCACCCGCACCTCCCCTCCTCTGGAGAACCCCTGCAGCCCCCCCGCCCGTCGTCTGCACTGGAAGAACTACTACCCCCCGAGACCCCAGCAGCAGCCGGCTGTGTGCGCCACGGCGCGCCCCCTCGGTGTAATATTCATGACAATCCCAGTCGAACGAAATGGAAAGCCTCAGCAGCAGTCCGTCCGGCTCCATTGAGCGAGTGCCTCGATTGTTTGGGGCGGCGGCGGCGGTGGTGGTGGTCTTAGTGGGGGTCAGGGTGACTAATTGATGCCGTCTGTAGCTGTAGAGCCGGGGGTCTATTGTGTTCCACGGGGCCGCTACGCAGGCCAGGAGCGTAAAGCGCCCCCTTCACCCAAGGAGAGAGGGGAGAGAGAGAGAGAGAGAGAGAGAGAGAGAGAGAGAGAGAGAGGGGGGGGGTAAAAGAAGACGGGGGGCGCACCGGGACCAACTGATCGATAGCAACTCGCATGACAAGGTGAAGAATTTATGGCATGACGCTCGAGGGAAGGGAGGCGTGGGAGGCGGGGTTATACCGTCAGCGCGAGGGTAGGTTGCAGAGCATCCGCTGCCTCCTTGCTACCGACCCACGGGCTGGGGAGAGGGGTGAGGGTTAGGGGGAGGGGGAAGGGCTCCTACCCTTCCCCCGCCTTACCCTGCCTAACAATACTACAGGTTCCCCGTACTCCCGTTCCCCCCGTCCCTGCACAACAATACTGTACTTGAATGTAGTGCTTACTCCTCTTATCCGTCATTTATTGCACACTCTCCACCAGATGGTCCGTCAGCGCCGTTCTTTCGTCTGGTCAGACTGTACCGGATGCGGGCCTGCGGACGGGTTGCATACTCGCACGGCGCCGTAATGCGCCTCGGTGAGTGAAGATAGGCAAGCCTGCTCGCACGTGTGGGAGGGTGGGAGGCACTGTCACTGAAATCCGTTTTGTGATACTTTTACTCAATTTTTGCGATAACTGGTGTTTTGCGATTCCCACGCTAATGGGCATGATAACTCCTAAAATTGTGATAAAAGTATCACATTTTTGTGATAAAATCATCACAAAAAATGTAATAAAATATTTTTTGTGATAAAAGTATCACATTTTTTGGAGTTATCATGCCCTTTAGCGTGGGAATCGCAAAACACCAGTTATCGCATGGTTTTGTGTTAAAAGTATCGCAAAACCAGACTCAGTGGTCGCAATCGGCCGAATCGGCCGTAAACGAGGCTTCCAACTAACTGGTGTCGCGTGTATCATTCGCTTATCGCTGCATAAAATCCAGCGGCCGCGCTCCTTTTTTTTTTCTGCAGTCTTTAGCACTGGAGTTGTTGTTCGTTCGCACGTCAGCCGGTCAGCAGTAGGCCGCGCTTGGCCGCAGCTCACGGGAGTCATAGCGCAGGAGGCGCCGTTATGTCCACCACGGCGGTTTGTCTCCCTTCGAGTGCCGCTCAACTGCTAGAATCCATACTCATGGCCCTAGCAATCATCACTTGCGGGCAGGGCGTCCACGGCAAACCCATCAACTCAATGGTAGTAAGTTACGAAATACCCTTTTAGAAAGACGATTTCAAATACGGTGTCTATGTTGTCGCTGTCCTAAGAGAAAGCAGGCTTCATCATATTTTTTTTCGAATAGGGACCTTACATTGCGTACGTGGAGCGCTTTTACAATTGTGACCCCGAAAACCGGACGCTTCCCTGGAGATGGTATTTGCGTGGGTCTCACTTCAACCCATTTAAACCAAAAGAGTTTCAACGCCTGACAGGCAATATAACGTTAACAAATGCAACTTTTGATGACAGCTGCTCGGTAAGACATTGCTAGTAGAATTGGGTGACATCAAACGCTTACAAGTGAATGTCAAAGTGTCCACACAGAGGGACTCACTCTTTTGTGAGTAAAACATCTCGTCACGCACTTTTAAGTATGCAGTGTCCCTTGTAGACAAAACACCAAATAAAGGCGGAATTTAGAAACGATTATTTACCAAAAATCTTCTTTTTTAACAGATGAAAATAATTTTAGATCTTCGTTCGAATAACCAATGGAAGGAAAACGCATTTGTCTTCAATTTTAGAAAGAATGCATGTCGCGTTTTTAAAGAAAATAATCCCACACTTTATGAGGTGGTTTACAAGAAAAGAGAAAGCAACGGCGCGTGCATTTTAAAACCCGTAAGTCTACTTACGGTTCTGATCTTCCTAAGAAATAAGAAAAACAAAGGTAGGACTCCATCGTTGGTGCAGATAATGTCCCATGACTTGTTTACACCAGCGCTGGTAATATCCGGTTTGATGCCTTTCTAGGGGTACAAATGTTAAATGTATTTGCAAAGTCATTGAAATTCTTTACGTCCTAACTTTGTTTTTCCAGTGTCGTCCGAAGGTTACGAATTTGTTTTTCTGGCATACCACGTGCCTGATTAACCCCGCACACTTTTGTACTTTGCAACCCACTCAACAACCCCTTTGTAACGCCCCAGGGCGGTGGCTGCAACAACAGTGGCGGAGCCCGGGCGGAGCGACGCGCTGGCGCTTGGAGCCGGTCCCCCCAGCGCCTGGTAGGTATGCAGTCTCCCAGATGGGTTGCATAGTACAAAAGTGTGCGGGGTTAATCAGCCACCTGGTATTTTACGGGTAGAAGGTGACAACTGTTGCGGCTTCACACAAAAGATTAATTATAAATGAGGAGGCTATGATGACTTTTATTTACAGGGAGTTTACGAGCTCAACAATGCATCAGTCGACTGGACGTTTCCAAATGTTCCTATCCTACCCTATGGAAGGTATAGGTTACGATCAATGACTGGTAAAGCTGATGACCTATACTCATGCTGGGCTGCAGATTGTAGGGCTGTTCCGAAATCCGACTAGCACCATGATTATCCTAATGTATATATATTATATATACGCGCGGCGCGTCGTGGCGGGGCGCATTGGTGCGAAAAACCGAGAATTTTGGGGGCACCAATTGGTGAGAATATCCACTTTGTTCAGAATATCGCGCAATTTTCGATGTTTTGTATCTGCTTCTCTGTTTGGTTCACTGATGAGACAAAGCGTTCAACTGCTCAACATCTGTAAGTGTGCAACTTAAAGTCGAATGTCTGCAAGTGTTCAACACACTAGTTGGGCAATTGAAATTGTGCAACTCCTCTGCTTAACACTTCCCACTCAATCAAAAGAGGTGTTTAACGTAGAGGTTGCAAACTTACAAGTGCACAACAACAGAGTTGGACACTTGAGAGTGCACAATGAAGGAGTTGAACACTTGGAAGTGTGCACCTTGCATTTGTACACGAACAAATGTTGAAGAAGTTGCACACTACATTTATCACTGGGCTTGGTTGAGACGTTTTTTTTCTATGCTCATTTAGTGGGGCTCTACAGCCCTTTTTGAGTATCCTAAATAAATGAAATTCAAATTCAAAACATTTCAAGAATTTCGGTTACATTTGAATAAACATGCGACTGAATTTCGTAAGTTTTTAGCAGATGATACCTTAAAAACCTTTTGACTAAACATAAAGAATAAATAATTAACTTTAAGGTGTCAGCTAGCTTTTACTCTCGATGAGTAGAGAGACCTTAGTGCAGACCAGAAAACAATTTCTTTGGTGCTGGGGGAACCGTGTCCGAGTGAGTGGCTGAGGTTCGTGCCAGGCCCCTACCCTTCCCCCGCCTTACCCTGCCTAACAATACTACAGGTTCCCCGTACTCCCGTTCCCCCCGTCCCTGCACAACAATACTAGCCCACCGATGCCCGCGCCTTTTCTCCTCCTCAGCGCCGCTAGTACGCCGAATTACAAAATTGCAAGTAACAAGCAACCATAAACAAATGTCAGCTAAATATGAGAGGAAATTGAACACAGACCTATTATTCTTAAACTTATATCATCTGCTTTCAAGATAGATTCTTGATTTAGATTTTTTTTTGTTTATGGAAAGAAGTTAGTCGTTGTGTGTGTCCAGTCCAGTGTGCGTCTATGCTGGCGCTCTGACCTCTCGAAAGTTGTTGTGCTGTTGTCATGATACACAACAGCAACAGCTATGGCCGACAGAGCCGCCTCGGTTGGCGCATCACGGAAAAAAAAAAAAAGAATTAGTCCTCACAACAATCAAATTAGCTAATTTTGGAATCGCTAATCCCAAATTCGCTGTGGCAGCTAACAGTTGGTTCCCACAGACAAGAGTTAGTTGCCACAGCGAAGCTGTCGCTGCAGCAGCCCATCGGTTCGTTCTGACAACTAATTGGGTGTTTCGCTGTGGACCCCCAGCTCACTCGCGATTCTCGAGTGGGGCTACGATATGCACGGGGCTCGACGGGGCTGAATTGTCGAATTCGTTTACAATATACCAGCGGCGAAACAAAAACTTGGAGAAAGACGACCGTCTAGACGCCCCAGACCAGACAGCACTTACGACGAGGGGTGCCCAACTGTGGTAACCAGGTGTACACAGACTTGGTATTTACTATGGTAATCACTGGTAATCCTCACACTCGTGTGCGGCCTCAAAAAGGGCAAAATTGTTGATTTATAAATGAATTTTTGTACACATCTTGCCTAAATGCCAACGCGCTTGTTTAATATGGCGTCTTTGCATCCCTCCCATGGATAAAATCATGATTTGGCCAATCATAGAATGCCAATTTGTAACTTGCATGATAAAGAATCAAGAACTACCAAAGAGTTGCACGAAAAAAAAATGGCCGTTTCGATTTAGAATGCAGGTGGATCACACCTAGTATACATAGGTAATCTTTGGTAATCTTTGGTTATCATTGGTAATATTTACAATTTGGTAATCCGGTGTACACATTTTTATGGAGTTAGGCACCCCTCGACTTAAGACATTAATTGATTTACAAGCAGGGCGAGCAAAACACGGAAAACAATAAACCTATCTCACGACGGACCGCTCACCTCGCGGTTGGCAAGACGGGGTCCAGCCTTTTAACACTGGCTGCAATTATTGTTCGCTTGTGAACATGTCTGTTCGAGCAGTTAACGAACGTTCCGAATCCAGGCACCTCGTGCTCAAATTCGAGCGATCACGTACAGTTTGCAGATCGTACAAGTTCGACCGAATGCGAACATCGCTCATCTCCAAGTGCATCCAGTTTTTATTCGAGTTGCATTAATTCGATAGTTATATTCGAAGGTAATTGCATAACACTTGCAATTGTAATACGTAATGTTTTAATTTTTACATGGTAAACACGCATTTTTTTGTAAACGGTAGGCCCATAAACTGTCCTCATATGTGCCCGCGGCTTGAGGGTCGTGCCCCGAAAGTGGAAAGGGGGAGGGTGTTGAAAAGTGTCAGCTAGGAAGGGGGGAGAGGGCGTGGTGGGATCATTCCTATGTGATCACTATGACGATACGGAGGAGCACGGGACTTTGATGAGGGCGTCATCCAATCAACCCCCCAACAACCCCAACCCCCAACCCCAATCCCCCGCGCCACAGCACCGAACTGAGGACAGGGACAAGAGGGGAACGGAAGGATAATAGGAGTGGCGTTTGAAAGGAATTAGAGTTGTTGTGAAAGCCCAGGTTGTACTAGGGGCGATGTGAAACCCTGTTGTTGTTGTTGTTGTTGTCGTTTGCCACTTTTTTGTCAGACTCGCGAGCGACTGGTTACGGCAGAGGGCCCGAGTACGTCACGCAAATTGTATCCGGTTTTGACTAACTTCACTCGTCAATGCTTTCAGCGGATGGTACACCCCCCCCCCCCCCAATATCTCCCTATCTCAGTCACAAAGCGTTTTGGAAAAATATTCGTAAACGTCCCCTTACACGGAAGAGGCTCTTATTAGAGTCGTCTCCCCCCGTCGACAATCTGCTCAGTGGAGTAGGGAAAAGGACCCGGAAAAGCAGGAAGGCTGTGTTGTGAAAGATTCGATGAGCTCACAGCCCGACGCCTAAGAAGTACTCAGTCGGTCTAAGACCCGCCATAAATCGTTAAAATGGCGGTGCGACAGACGAAAGCATTATAGGAAGTGAATGATGCAGAGGGGGGGGGGGATGCTGCACGGTCAGCCAGAGCCGGGGATGGAAACGGGGCGCGCTGACCCCGCTGACCTCTTTGAGGCCATCAGCAGACTGTTGCCTGCAGGGTGAACAAGATTAGAGAGAGAGAGAGAGAGAGAGAGAGAGAGAGAGAGAGAGAGAGAGA